GACAGCGTGTCAACTGGCTAGATGATCCGAGTCGCAAGGGAAATCCACGTTCCTTGGGGCCTGCCTGAAGTATCCGAAATGTGTTAAGTAGCATTTGCGGGTTTTATGCTCAACGCTTTTGGGATGAAACCGAACTTTGACGCCGGACGAAAAATGAGTCTGGGAAATGTTCTGGCTAAGTCCATAAACTCTACGGTCGTGCCGCCGTCTTTCATAACAGGTGGACGTTATTATTATTATTATTGTTATTATTATTATTATTATTATTATTATTATTATTATTATTATTATTATTATTATTATTATTATCATTATTATTATTATTATTATCATTATTATTATTATTATTATATTAAGCTATATAATGAGCCACACTGAAAAAATCAAGATTTATACCACCAAAGGTATCAGTGCAGGTCAAGATACAGCTAAGAAAGAATGAATAAAAGAAAGTCAGTTATGGGAATGAAGGTATTTGTAAATGAAGGTCTCTTTCGAGGCAGGCAGGTAGCAAATGAACAATTTTCCTGCTGCAAGAAGACAAGCAAAGCATGCAATCTTCGACAACAGAAACGAACTGATTATGAAGGACACGAAGGAACAAGACGAACCGATCAACCACTTAGAACAAAGAAATGTTTGGCAGTTTGCAAGCACTGAGCACTCCCCTGGGACACCACCTTGTCTGCCTGTCTGTCAGCAGCCACTGGATGAAGTGCACTCTGCGCCTGATTCCGAAACGCCAAGGAATAATAATAGTAATAATAATAATAAACGCGTCTTATTTTGAAATAATTGAATATGGAAGTCCGCAGGGATATGCTTTAGGAGCCTTACTATTCATCCTTTTTCTGTGGCACTATCCCTCCATCCCTCCCCCTCTCCCTCCATCCCTCCCCCTCTCTTTCCCTCCCTCACTCCCTCTCTTACTTTCCATCCCTTCCCCCTCTCCCCTCCCTCCTTCCATCCTTCCCTCTCCTTCCCTCCTATCCTTCCATCCTCCCCCTCTCCATCCCTCCTATCATCCCTCCTCCCTCCCTCATCCCTCCTATCCCTTTCTCCCTCTCCCTCCTCACCCCTTCTCTTACCTTATATCCTTCCCCTCCCCCTCTCCCTCCATCCCTCCTATCCCACTTCCTCCCTCCATCCCTCCTATCCCCACCCTCCCTCCCATCCTTCCATCCTCCATCCCTCCTATCCCTCTCCCCTCCCCTCCCTCCTATCCCCCATCCCTCCCTCCTATCCTCCCTCCCCCTCCCTCTCCCTCCCCTCCTATCCCCATCCCTCCATCACCCAGCCTTTCACTCATCCCTCCTCTCCTCCCCCCATCCCTCCCCTCCCCTCCATCCCCCCTCCCATCCCTATCCCTCCCATCACCCAGCCTTTCACTCATCCCCCTCTCCCTCCCCCTCCTATCCCCCCATCCCTCCTATCCTCTTCCCTCCCTCCCTCCCATCCCTCCTATCCCACTTCTCCCTCCATCCCTCCCCCTCCCTCTCCCCCATCCCTCTTATCCCTCCTATCCTTCCCATCGCCCAGCCTTTCACTCATCCCTTATGCCGCCACCGCAACAGCCTCAAGGACATTAGATCCCCAATAAAAGCGAGTCTGACGCACCTCCCGGAGTCCGCTTAATGTCCTTTCTCTCACGCCCTCGCCGCCCGGGTTTTTATCGCGCCCTTTTAAGAGTCGACAGCAACAGAGCTTCGTCTTGGAGTGAATTAGGTACGGTGTTTGTCGCATGTTTTTTTTGTTTTGTTTTGTTTTGTTAAACTGTTTGTCTCTGCTTTTTTTTTTTTTTTTTTTTTTTTTTTTTTTTTTTTTTTAAGGGTAACGTTAGTCTGTCCGTTTGAGAAGATAGTGAATATAGAGGAAGGGATAAATGAAAGTGAAAGGGAGGAACAAATGCACCGACATCAAGGATAGATAGAATAAAAAAAAGAAATCATCTACTCCCACTCCTTCATTCCTCTCTCTCTCTTTCTATCTTTCTATCCTCTTTCTCTCTCTCTCTCTCTCTCTATCTCTCTATCCTCCTCTTCTGCCCTAGCCTAAAGTACTTAACTTAACCTAGCCTACAGTATTTAACCTAACCTAACCTAACTTTACCTAATGCAACCTAAGATAGCCTAAAGTAGTTAACCTAACTTACCTTAACCTACTCTAACCTCACCTAACCTAGCCTGAATATAAGGAATTCTTAACATAACCTAACTCAACCTAATCTAACCTAACCTAGCATAAATATGAGGAATTTTAACCTAATCTGACCTAACCCTAGACTAAGGTACTTAACCTAACCTAACTGAACCTATTGCTTAACCCTAACCTAACCCTAGCCAATATTCATTTAACCTAACCTAACCTAGGCCTAAATGATTTAACCTAACCTAACCTAAATGATTTAACCTAACCTAACCCTAGCCAATATTCATTTAACCTAACCTAACCTAGGCCTAAATGATTTAACCTAACCTAATCTAGGCTAAATGATATAACC